CCTCGGGGATCAGAAGCCCCAGGACTCTGCTATGAGGTGGTGGGCTTCTGGGGTCTCTGGGGCCCTCTGCTCGTGGAGTCTCTGGGGACCCTTGTTTGTGGAGCCTTCCGACCACAGAATTGTGTCAGGTGTCCCGAGAGCACTTGCCTCTGTGGGACCAAGACCAAGGCCCGTGTATTTCTGCGCCTTTATCTTCTAACGAACGAGGGCTTAGAGGGAGAAGGGCAGGCAGACTTGCCCACAGGATTCCTCCCGCTGGAGAACAGAAGAAGAAGACCCCAAGGACACTGCGCTCCCACTCACCGTACCCCCAGACTCCTTTAACCAAGGGAGCGTCTAGCAGGCTCCATGAATACTGAGTAATGACACGTTTCCCATGTGGTTCCACGGCCCAAAGGCTTCGGGGAAACGGCCCAAGGCTTCTCCAGTTAAAACATGGGGGAAATTTTATGTCCAGTTTAAACACGGTGGAAATTGACTCCCTGTTCCAGGCAGTGTTGAAAGCTTGGGTGTGTTCTGAGCTATTGTCAGGAGACTGCTTATCGTATGGGTGTTTTATGTTCCCAGAAAAACAACGAGGGGTATTAAGACCCAAATCACCAGGAGGAGAAGCAGATCTCAGGTTTTGCCTTAAATAAAAAAGAGAATTACTTCCACCCTTTCTCTTACATGCTACATTGAAACAGAGAAGTAGGGTGAGGGAAAGCTTCCAGATCCAGAGTGATAATATCGCCAAAAGGCAGGGAATACAATTGTAGAACACTGGGGCTTCTTTCCTCCAGGGTGGAGGGGGCTGGGGCCACTTTGCTGCCATGGAAACCATCCAAGGTATGTGGGAGGGGAGGGAGGCCCAGCCAGGCCCATCCTTGCCTCCTGGAACTTAAAGATGTCACTTTCCTTAAAGTTAAAGTGCTCTAGTCAAGGGGCTGTGTTTCTAGTGGTAGGAGGGGTGTGTGTGTTTTACTTAAATAAATTCCAGTCTGCCTCCCCACCCGCTCCGCCTTTTGAATCTAGTGATTCTGGCTGTCTTTTAACCCAGTCTCAACTACAGAAAAGTTGACAGTTAACCACGGAACAATCCCCCCTCACGCCTGTAATCTGAGCACTTTGGGAAGCCAAGGCAAGAGGATGGCTTGAGACCGGGAGTTTGAGGTCAGCCTGGGCAACATGGTGAAACCTCATCTCTACAAAAGATCAACAATACAGAGGTGAGAGGATTGCCTGAACCCACAGGTTAGAGACTAGCTTGGTCAACATGGCAAGACCTCATCTCTTAAAAAAAAAAAAAAAAGGAAGATTAACAAATGAACTGAGCATAGTGGTGTGCATCTATAGTCCCAACGACTCGGGAGGCTGGGGTGGGAGGATTGCCTGAGCCTGGGAGGCTGAGGCTATATTGAGGCTCCTGCACTCCAGCCTGGGTGACAGAGTGTGACCTTGACTCAAAGATATAAAGTCAAAACAGTCATTGAGCACCAACTGTATACTAGCATAGCTCTCTGCCTAGGGAATGCCAGGCCTGCAAGATGCCTAACACACCCTGCAGGGCCACTGAATGCCAGCCCTCTGTTGAGCCTGGTTGTGTCTGTCCTGTCCCTGTTCCCATACTCACTGGCCTCTGAAAATAGGCAGCACCTTTAATCCAGGGGCTGTTTCAGAGTCATGGCTCTCTGCAATTTTTAGGACTGAATGTTAAAATCTCTTATTCCATACTGTCTTCTGCACGGACACGGAAGCCACACTCCCATGTCTGCTGTCCTTCTCACTCTTACAGCAGAGCGAGCCCAGACCCCAAGTGCACCCACTGGTCCCACACCCAGCTGCACCTGGAAATTAGATGTTCTTGGAGAAGACTGGAGAGGCAGAAGCAAGGAGGAGGGTATCTTTCCTTCCATCCTCCCTCCCTCCCTTCTCTCTCTCTCTCTCTCTCTCTCTCTCTCTCTCTCTCTCTCTCTCTCTCTCTCTCTCGCTTTTCTCTCTTTTCTCCCTTCCCCCATTCCTCTCTCTTTCTGTCTTAAAACAACCAAAATTTATCCTCTTACAGATCTGGAGGCCAGGAATCTGAAACCAAAGGTTGGCAGGGCCACGCACCACCAGAACACTAAGGCGGAGCGTCCTCCCCACCTCTTCCAGCTTCTTGTGGCTCTAGTATCCCTTGGCCTGTGGCTTGTCACTCCAGGCTCCACCTCTGTCTGCGGGATCCTCCTGTCCTCTCCCTGTCTGTGGCCTTCTCCTCAGAAGGCGTCTCTCTGTTGCAGGCATAGTTGGGGAGAATCTCTCTGGTACCCAGGGCCCAGGCTCCAGCTGGGTGGGTTTTGAGGCCAGCAGGGAGTGGCCTCTGAGCCCTGAAATGGAAGAAGAGGCCGGTTCCTGGGCCCAGCCCAAGCCTGCTGCCCTAGCCTTGCCAGCGACATCGGAAGGTGCAGTTTCCTGCACCATACTTTTTTTGCTTAGCATAACCTAAGATTGTCCATTGGATCCTAACAGGAGAGTTGATGCAAGTCTCAAAAATGCAGTCTGGTTCTCACCCCAGGCCCGGGTGTTCAGGGAAGCCGACTCAGGGCAGCCCCATCTGGCTCCCTTGGGCACACGACATGGAGCGAGGGAGGGAGGCCACAGTAGGCCCTGGGCTCTTCCTCAGCATGTGTGCTCCTCCCTAGGAGCGCTGGGCTCTCTCTGACCACCCGCAGGAATGACCGCCCTGAACTAGTTTGCTCACTGTTCTCTCCTTGCAGTCCACAGACGTCTTCTGAGCACCAAAGTCCCACTGCACCCAGTCATAAAGTGAGATTTTTAAAATGTTAACCCCTTGCCTACAAGCTGGAATGAAACAAGCACTCATTCTATTATCATCGCTTCTTCTACCCTCCTCTTGTTAAATTCTATGAATTTCCAAGAAGGGGAACTCAATGTTCCCACCTGGGATAGGGGCAGAGGGACAGGCTACATGCTCCATGTCTGGAATCTGAATCACATTTTTTCCCTCCATCTTTCCCTTGTTTCTGTCTTCTCTGTGTTCTTAATGCATAGCCAGATCCTTTAGACCTAAAATAAGACTACCAAATTCAGGCTTTGTGCTGCAGACAGAAAAATCACAGGCTTGGTACAGGCTTATGTTAATAGGATTCAAGCCCAAAAAGCTGAAATGAATCAAAGCATAATTTCCTGTGACAACTTGTGTTGTGTGTGTGCGTGCATGTGTGTATGTGTGTCAAAAGCAGTTCAACAATTCCTTTAAACTTCATCAATAGTTTACCATGTAGGCATGACAAAATTGTAGGCTTTTTCGGGGGGGGAGGGGAGGGATTTAAGAAGTCCATGGTTACCTGTAATTAGAGTCTTGCTAAGTTTCATTTTAAGAAAACAACATTCTAGTCTGATTTAAACTATGCAGAAAAAGACATGGTGCATACTGAAAATGCTTTTTCTGACTCAGATGACTGAATGTATTTCATTTCAGCAATCTCCCCAGAAATCAGCCTTTCTGATGTGTCTCAGGCTGTGTGTCTGGCTAATTATGTTGCCCCTCCCAGAAGCCTTGCTGCTAATGCAGCTTGAGATGATGTTTTGTTTCCCCTTGGGTTCCTGCAAACACCTAAATGCTTATAGACAAGAGGGTTCATCCGGGTCTGAACTGGGCCAGAATCATAATTTCTGTTCAATGCTGGGTCGATTAAGTCCCGGGTGGAGGGGGTGTATGTGTGACATCTGCAGATAAGGGAGTTTGTTTATAAGGGAGTTTGTTTGTGGGTGTGGACACAGAGTCACCTTTTGTGGTCATACCCCAGCATAAAAGCCTCTGGGACATTCGGGGGCCCACAGGGATGAAAGGGTAGGAGGGAGAGGGCCTTGAATGGCGGTGGTGGGGTTAACTTGAGTCTCTGGCGACAAATTCCACCATCAGTTCCAGCTAGAGAATACTGCTTGCGGGAGGTATTTGGTCTGCCACGGAGACGCGCTTCCCTGGGGGGGCTGGAGCTTCGGGCTTCCGGGCCCGCCCTCTTGGGCACCAGGCGCGGCCCCTACAGACGTCGCCGCCGGGGTCGCTGCGCGCTCGCCACAGCCCTCGGAGGAGGCGTGGCTGCAGCGAGGCTCCGACGCGCTCCGCAATCAAGGCCCGACTCTCTCCTGGCGGGCGGTGCCGGCGCCCGCCGTGCGCGCGCGTGGGGGCCCACGTGAGCCGGCGCCGGCCACAGGAGTCAGGGGACGCGGGTCTAGTGTCACATGCGCCACGCGATCTCGTCCCAAAGTCAAATGCCACACTTTACGGGGTGGGCGGGGCCTGTGTGAAAACTACAGCAAGAACCAGCAGGACGCCCTCAGGTCCTGGCACCCGAGCCCCTAATGGAGGAGCCAGGGCCGCGCCGCC